CCCAAAACGCGGACCCCCAAAACGCGGACCCCCAAAACGCGGACCCCCAAAAATCGCGCCACTGCTCCTCCGTAAAACGCGATTAAGAAATTACTATATTCTGATATGAGAAACACGTGCATTTTTGAATTGACAATAATAATTATTTGCAATAATAATAACTACAATTTTACAATACAAACGATAATATAACACGACTGTTACAAACTAGATACAATAATAACTATCGTAATGATAATCCTCTGTCCCACCATCGATATAATGGTAATAACGACTATACAATTCTGTCGGATCACGAATACGATACGATAATGATATAGAGACATAATAAAGTAAAATGTCAGTGAAACGACAGCGAGATCAGCGGGAAATGATTAACGAGCAGCTTATCCGGTCAACCTTGTCCGGATATTCGCCGCGAGGAGACGGGATAAAAAAAATTTCATTTCGTACATCGCTTTGCACTTACACTGCCATAGATTAACCAAATAAAATGAAAATAACAGTGAAAGGAAAAATGAAAATAAAAACAGGATAAATTAAATCGGGAAAAGTAAAAATAAGGGGACAGAAAAGAAAATGGAAGAGCATGCAAATGAGAAATGAAATTGAAATAAAGATAGAAATCAATTAAAATTTAGAGAAATTAAAATGAAGATAGAAAAAGTGTTTTTAACTCTTCAACGCCTGCGAAGTGATCAAAAGGAACGAAATTTCCGAATTAAACGAAGATCGAATACTTGTACTGCTTTCGCATAGAGCTTCCTGCAGGAATCAGAGCACCGTGCTTCCGGTATTTCGAGACCTCGTGCTACCTTTTTCCTCTCTCTCTCTCTCTCTCTCTGTCTCTGCTCGCTGAAGGGGGGTGGAAAACTTTGAATATAAATTCAGACGAAAATTCGCTGGTGACACCGAGCTCGCGGAATCGATAGAGAACGTTACACGCGAGGAATGCGGAGGTTTCATGGCGACGCAGCGCAATATCTGCCGCACGTTTTCGCCCCCCCCCACCGTCGTCCACCCCTTCTCTTCCGGTTGCGCGCCTCGGCTCTCTCTGCATATCACTTATTTATAAGAAGCGATTTCTCCAAGAAATACCCCCCTCAAATTCCATAGAGTCGAGCTTTTAGAAATTTTCCCGAAGGATTCCCTCCTCCAAATCTTCCTTTCACATTCACGTGTTCCAATGTTTCTTCCTTTAATTTCATTCAATTTAATTTAATTTTTTATTCCGTTTTTTTTTTTTAATTTTATCTAAATTTTTTAATTTAATTTAATTTTTTATTCCGTTTCATTTTCGTCGACGAGGCAAATCTCTGTCGTTAGAATTATTCGTATATTAAAAATTGACATGTCAATGATATTGTTATAATATTGTCTTGTTGTTGGAGATAATTTATTTTCAACTTTATGTGTTGTGATTATATTTTGGCGAAAGTTTTACCAATGTTAGATTGGACTCAACGTAATATTTTTTCCTGCGAGATGCTTCGTTTTCGAGTTTGGAAATTTGTCGTCTGTAATTTTCCAACGAAACATGGTCAAAGTCTATTTTTTTGAACGGGGGGAGGGGAAAAAAAAAAATTTCGTTTCTTCAACTTGCAATCAGCTTTGCGCGCGGAATTCGATTATTCGCGCCGGTCCAGCAGGGAATTAGCGAAATCGAAGTATAATTGACAAACTCGTGAAACT